TCGAAACCACACATGCTTTGCAGCCATGGCGACAACAGACTTGTACACAGATGCATTGTCCTGGTGGAACAACACACCTTTGTGTGTTTTCTACGACGGTTAGCCTTGGTAGTCTCACACAGGCCTCAGCTTGTCAACATAACAGCGTCTGGTGTCCCCCGCCGTGATATTGCTGGAATATTGCTAAAAGCGGCGTAATCACATACTCACCCACTCAACATAATATTGGCCATAAACTGCCTGACTTTTTGGAAGGTAGTAGTCCACAAGAAGTCCAACAAAATCAGCAGAGTCGGCTTCAAAACGACGCAAATTCATTCGCACGAGGGATGATGAACCTGAGCTTTTAGGATCAGGTACCCAGCGTAATGAAGCCTTTGTCCCTGCCAGTTAATTCCTCGGAATGTTCTCAACTCGCATGAGAGATACCTTCTGTATTGGTCATGCGATGTGTGGGGAGTCGGCGATCATCCATAATCATATCAGGTATTTTATTTCCTTACTGGTGGCATTTGAAGGCCTTTCGTTTAATTCATCTTCGAGGCTCTCTCTCTTCCCCTCTACACTCGAACAAAGGAAGGTGCATCATCCCTAAAGTTGACACCATGTCCGCATGGATGACTGTTGGAGTTAGCCCTTTCAGTTGGAGCTACTTAATGACAGTAGCAAATTTTGTCCATTTTCATCAACAGAGAACACCTAGTCACTTTGATGCCTCCACAAATATGCTGCCTGATTGTATATTTGGTCAGCCTGTACCATTGTACTTAATACATGCAAACTGTTAAGGGGGAACCATGCACCCTTCCTAGTTAGGCTCAGAACTGTTAGGCGCAAGTTTGGTTGGTAGAAGCCGTGGTTCACGTTTGATAAATCAGCAAGCCCAAACGATGTACAATGATGCGACATCCTCAATTAGTTACATAGCGGTATGTCTTGTTCAAGTAATAACCGATAAAATGTTAATCGAATGTAAGAAAATACGTCAATTTCACACCGCTGTGATACTTTGTCGTCGAGATTTCTCGTTGCTGTTTTGCTGTACACACCAGATACCCAGCTGTGCCAGAGACAATCTCATTACAATCAGAACTTTTACTCGAATACGACATCTCTCGGCTGGAAGATCAAGGATCGCGTGAGGTGAACTCTCTAATCGGCCAATCAGCTTCGAGGCTCCTAAGTTGTCGGTAGGAGTGAGCGAAACATTCAAACGAACACAAATAATCGGTGAGTTCCGAATGAAAAAAATAAAACCATGAGCTTCGTAGACCATTATTAAGGATTAACAAATCAATCAGTGCTTCATATTCTTCAAATACAGGTGGGACCGCCTCCGTGGTCTAATGGTAGAGCGTCCGCCCGGAGAGCGGAAGGTCCGGGGTTCGATCCCCAGCCGCGTCATGCCAAACGACGTCAAAAAGGTGGTACTTGTTGTTACCCTGTCTGGCGCTTGGCATTAAGGGGCTAAAAGAAGGACTGGTCGGCTCGGAGTCAGTATACTGTGTCTGAGTGGGGTATTCATGTTAAACTGCGGCATGGTATCTCAGTGTGCTAGCACTGTAAATCGGCATCAGTCCGGACAAGTACAAGCAGCCACACACACACACACACACACACACACACGTGCATGCACGTCGCCATATAAGTGCAATAATTTTGGACGCGACGTTAAACCCCATTTCACCTCTTTTCAAATACAGGTGACAAACTGTACGTGCTACGATTGCTGGCACGACACAGAATCTTATCAGTCTACACAACGAGTTATGTTATGTTATGTTATGTTATGTTATGTTATGTTATGTTCAAACTTTAAGAATGACAGAGTAGCGGGTAGCCTTGAGGTTCAAGCATTCGCTTTTCTCTTTAGATCAAGTTTGATTTCAGTTATTGGTACGATAAGCCTATTCTTGGTTTCCCACGCCGTGAGGTAGCTGGAATGGTTTACAACCTGTGATGTGAAGCACACATATGATTCATTTAAGAATTGACACAGAGTTATTACGTTTAATGATTTCAAAGATTCTGACTGAATTTTGACGCTGTCTATTTGGTCACTCCACATCTATCGATATGCATCGCGATCCCCGAGCTGGCTGTGCATGTCAGCTGTCCCGGCGCGGAGCGAAGGAGTCCATAATTACAAATATTCATCAACAGGGATGGTCATCTGTCACATCTGGTTTAACTCACTGCGACATCGCCGCGACATCGACGTCACACAGCGTAGGGTTTTAGCGATAGTGGGTTAGTGGCTCGATCATTGCCGTTCGTGGTGGTCACCGTTGTGGAAGACGCTGTCGTACACTTGGAAGTTGTTGTAGTGAGTGACTACCGTCACGGTGGTCTGTTAATAGTCGAGTCCAAGTCAGGCTAAAGAGGTATTATCATAAAGCCGCCGCTATTACGTGATCGATCTTTTGATATGGAAAAAGCAACTGGTCCTCAGGTTGTTGATTGTGCAAAGAAATTATACATGTCTATATAGAAATGAAAACAAGTGTTTTCCTGATGATGTGCATATTTACTACATAAAAATATCAAGAACACCTGAGTGTTTTCATATTGGTATAGTTAATCTGTCGTGCAATGCATGTTCTTTATATTCTTTTGAGTAGTATATGTTCATTAGTGTTTAGGCTCTGTTGGTTTGATTGACATATCTTGTTGTATCCGTGAAAATCCGGTGTAGAAAAGGTCTTCAGCAACCCATACTTGCTGTAAAAGGTGACTATGCTTGTAAGAGGCGAGTAACGGGATCGCGTGGTCAGGCTCGCTGACTTGATTGATGATCTCTCTCCTTCCAATGACGTGTTGGGTTTTCGTACCATAACGCGACAAAATCTCCCTCCTTCCAATGACGTGTTGGGTTTTCGTACCATAACGCGACAAAATCTCCCTCCTTCCAATGACGTGTTGGGTTTTCGTACCATAACGCGACAAAATCTCTCTCTTTACAATGACATGTTGGGTTTTCGTACCATAACGCGACAAAATCTCTCTCCTTACAATGACGTGTCTGGTTTTCGTACCATAACGCGACAAAATATCTCTCCTTACAATGACGTGTTGGGTTTTCGTACCATATCGGGATAATATTTTCGCAAGAAACAATCGTTACAACCCCCATAGAAGTGCAGTAGTCGTAGCTGTTGTCGTAGCTGTTGTTAGTAGCGCTGGAGCAACCGGCGCTGCTGGTGAGGACGATTAAATAAGGAGGATTGGAGTGTCGCGATAGGAACGTGGTTCTTAAACGGATTTTATATTCTTTCAAAGATAATGACAATTTACACCTCAAACACTAAAAATGTGCTTGTGCGATCGGTTGCAAACAAAAGCGTCATTTCTATAACATATTAATATCTAAGTTTCGTACATGTGGGTCATTTATAGAAAAATAGGAATCTGTGTCAAAAGAGAGACGGTTCATTTATCTCATAAATTCACATCACACATACTGAACCCTTCCACCATTGAACGAATTAGTTTTAATCAGATATTCATTAAAGCATTTCCGGCAGTAACAACCATACAACTACCACTTGGAGATTCTCAAAATCGCCACTAAGACTGTTTTAGGGGAGTTTTCTCCGTTTTACGACCGCCATGAAACGGCAGTAAGTCTGCGAGGCTGCATAAGCCCCAGGAACTGAGATGGGGCCGGCTGTTCCTGAAGCGCCTGATGTTGGGCAAAAACCCAATAACGCCCCTGACAGGCAGCGTGTTCAATAACCCCGTCAGCGCGGTGATCCTAGACAGAATGTGTCGCCTGAATCCATTCCTGCATACTGTTATGCAGTTCCAATTGGTGTGAAGTCCGGGAAGGACGGTTCCGTCATTGCAGATGCGACGAAGGATATCATTCTTTATTAAACTCGTATCAAACGCAGCTCCCTATTCTGTATTGACCACGAAGTCATTTCGGGGCATCGTGCGACGTAGATATTTACATATTTGGTTAGAAAATACTCGCGCAGACCCCGGGTTCATTATCGATTAGTCAGCTATTTTGTTTTATCACGTTGCACTGTTAAGACGCTCAAGACCGGGGTCTATTAAACCACGAAATAACAAGACTTGGCCATGATACACTGACGAGTGATCGTTCATATATTGTGCATACCTGTATATTTCAAGGGTTAAAGAAGTCAAAATTGATTGCTTATTTGCAGACGGTAAAAAGCTACCTGCTCTCAAACGTGGAACATTAGCATAATTGTCTTTTGGGACTCCTTACTCCAATAGGATACTCGGTTATATACCTGGTCCTACCTAAAATAGATATATATATATTTAAACTACACTAAAACATATATTCAAGTTCATTGAATAACTTTAATATAAATGGCAACTTTAATTCTCAGCATTTGATTCTTAGCTCTTTGTTGATACATGCAATGCTTGATTTTGATTGTGTGTTGCAACCTTTTCAAGTTTGAAACGTGACACCGTTTGTTTCAAAACCTTTACATTTTTTCATCCTTAACGTGTCAAGCTATTGCAATTTGTATCTTGATTGAATACTGTAATAAAAATACAACAAATAAAACCATATTGTCATGAGAGGACTCGGATACATACCTGGACCTACCTCTGATACCACGCCCTATAGACGATGTCCCCCTGCTGGGGGTATGCGAGAGACCTACCTCTGATACCACGCCCTATAGACGATGTCCTTCTGCTGGTGGTATGCGAGAGACCTACCTCTGATACCACGTCCTATAGGCGATGACCCCCTGCTGGTGGTATGCTAGAGACCTACCTCTGGTACCACGCCCTATAGACGATGTCCCTCTGCTGGTGGTATGCTAGAGACCTACCTCTGATACCACGCCCTATAGACGATGTCCTTCTGCTGGTGGTATGCGAGAGACCTACCTCTGATACCACGTCCTATAGGCGATGCCCCCCTGCTGGTGGTATGCTAGAGACCTACCTCTGATACCATGCCCTATAGGCGATGCCCCTCTGCTGGTGGTATGCTAGAGACCTACCTCTGGTACCACGCCCTATAGGCGATGCCCCTCTGCATGCGAACAGGATACTCTGCTAAAGACTTGTACTTCCTGAGGGCTATCTGGACCTGAAATAACAAGTCCTTACCAGTTAGGGCATAGACAAATTGATTTCACATGGAATATCAATATATCCTCGACGTCGTGTGTCGAGACACATAAGGTTTGGTAAACTACTCCAAATAAGCATATTCTCAACATCCCCAAATTTCCATATGGTATATGTACAAGATGTCTGGTTTACTCCAAATCCTCATCTGACATCGGTGTGTTTTGGTCCAGTGTGTTCTTGACAAACAGCGTTTCTAGTTCATGGTTGCAACAGTTACTATTGCGAAAACTAGCAAAAAGTCGTCAAAACGTGGCAAATAAGTCGATAAATAAGGAGTCGACTGTACCACATAGGTGTGAATTTGTCAGTGCCGTGCAGTATCAGGGTGTGGACAGTAACCTTTCAACGGGCACAACGGGCACACGATAACTACCCATCACCACCACCACCCATCATATTTACCTCCATCACACATCAACAATCACAATAACTACCCGTCACCCCCACCACCCATCATATTTACCTCCATCACACATCAACAATCACGGCAACTACCCATCACCACCACCACCCATCATATTTACCTTCATCACACATCAACAATCACGGCAACTACCCATCACCACCCATCATATTTACCTCCATCACACATCAACAATCACGATAACTACCCATCACCACCACCACCCATCATATTTACCTCCATCACACATCAACAATCACGATAACTACCCATCACCACCACCACCCATCATATTTACCTTCATCACACATCAACAATCACGATAACTACCCATCACCACCACCACCCATCATATTTACCTCCATCACACATCAACAATCACTGTCATCACCCCCACCCGTCATATTTACCTCCATCACACATCAACAATCAGGATAACCACCCATCACCACCACCCATCATATTTACCTCCATCACACATCAACAATCACGGCAACTACCCATCACCACCACCACCCATCATATTTACCTCCATCACAAATCAACAATCACGATAACCACCCATCACCACCACCACCATCATATTTACCTCCATCACACATCAACAATCACTGTCATCACCACCACCCATCATATTTACCTCCATCACACATCAACAATCACGGCAACTACCCATCACCACCACCACCCATCATATTTATCTCCATCACACATCAACAATCACAATAACTACCCGTCACCCCCACCCATCATATTTACCTCCATCACACATCAACAATCACGGCAACTACCCATCACCACCACCACCCATCATATTTACCTCCATCACACATCAACAATCACAATAACTACCCGTCACCCCCACCACCCATCATATTTACCTCCATCACACATCAACAATCACGATAACCACCCATCACCACCACCACCCATCATATTTACCTCCATCACACATCAACAATCACGATAACCACCCATCACCACCACCACCCATCATATTTACCTCCATCACACATCAACAATCACGATAACTACCCATCACCACCACCCATCATATTTACCTCCATCACACATCAACAATCACGATAACTACCCATCACCACCACCACCCATCATATTTACCTCCATCAAACATCAACAATCACGATAACCACCCAACCACCACCACCCATCATATTTACCTCCATCACACATCAACAATCACGATAACTACCCATCACCACCACCACCCATCATATTTACCTCCATCACACATCAACAATCACGATAACCACCCATCACCACCACCACCCATCATATTTACCTCCATCACACATCAACAATCACGATAACCACCCATCACCACCACCACCCATCATATTTACCTCCATCAAACATCAACAATCACGATAACCACCCAACCACCACCACCCATCATATTTACCTCCATCACACATCAACAATCACGATAACCACCCAACCACCACCACCCATCATATTTACCTCCATCAAACATCAACAATCACGATAACCACCCAACCACCACCACCCATCATATTTACCTCCATCACACATCAACAATCACGGCAACTACCCATCACCACCACCACCCATCATATTTACCTCCATCACACATCAACAATCACGATAACTACCCATCACCACCACCACCCATCATATTTACCTCCATCACACATCAACAATCACGGCAACTACCCATCACCACCACCACCCATCATATTTACCTCCATCACACATCAACAATCACGAAAACCACCCATCACCCCCACCCATCATATTTACCTTCATCACACATCAACAATCACGAAAACCACCCATCACCACCACCCATCATATTTACCTCCATCACACATCAACAATTACAATAACTACCCATCACCACCACCACCCATCATATTTACCTTCATCACACATCAACAATCACAATAACTACCCGTCACCCCCACCACCCATCATATTTACCTCCATCACACATCAACAATCACGGCAACTACCCATCACCACCACCACCCATCATATTTACCTTCATCACACATCAACAATCACAATAACTACCCGTCACCACCACCACCCATCATATTTACCTCCATCACATATCAACAATCACGATAACTACCCATCACCACCACCACCCATCATATTTACCTCCATCACACATCAACAATCACGAAAACCACCCATCACCCCCACCCATCATATTTACCTTCATCACACATCAACAATCACGAAAACCACCCATCACCACCACCCATCATATTTACCTCCATCACACATCAACAATCACGGCAACTACCCATCACCACCCATCATATTTACCTCCATCACACATCAACAATCACGATAACTACCCATCACCACCACCCATCATATTTACCTCCATCACACATCAACAATCACGGCAACTACCCATCACCACCCATCATATTTACCTCCATCACACATCAACAATCACGATAACTACCCATCACCACCACCCATCATATTTACCTTCATCACACATCAACAATCACTGTCATCACCACCACCACCCATCATATTTACCTCCATCACACATCAACAATCACTGTCATCACCCCCACCCGTCATATTTACCTCCATCACACATCAACAATCACGATAACTACCCATCACCACCACCCATCATATTTACCTCCATCACACATCAACAATCACGATAACCACCCATCACCACCCATCATATTTACCTCCATCACACATCAACAATCACGATAACTACCCACCACCACCACCCATCATATTTACCTCCATCACACATCAACAATCACGATAACTACCCATCACCACCACCACCCGTCATATTTACCTCCATCACACATCAACAATTACGATAACTACCCATCACCACCACCACCCATCATATTTACCTCCATCACACATCAACAATTACGATAACTACCCGTCACCCCCACCCATCATATTTACCTCCATCACACATCAACAATCACGATAACTACCCGTCACCCCCACCCATCATATTTACCTCCATCACACATCAACAATTACGATAACTACCCATCACCACCACCACCCATCATATTTACCTCCATCACACATCAACAATTACGATAACTACCCGTCACCCCCACCCATCATATTTACCTCCATCACACATCAACAATCACTGTCATCACCACCACCCATCATATTTACCTCCATCACACATCAACAATCACTGTCATCACCACCACCCAACATATTTACCTCTATCACACATCAACAATCACTGTCATCACCACCACCCAACATATTTACCTCTATCACACATCAACAATCAGTGTCATCACCACCACCCAACATATTTACCTCTATCACACATCAACAATCAGTGTCATCACCACCACCCAACATATTTACCTCCATCACACATCATCAATCACTGTCATCACCACCACCCAACATATTTACCTCTATCACACATCAACAATCACTGTCATCACCACCACCCATCATATTTACCTCCATCACACATCAACAATCACTGTCATCACCACCACCCAACATATTTACCTCCATCACACATCAACAATCAGTGTCATCACCACCACCCAACATGTTTACCTCTATCACACATCAACAATCAGTGTCATCACCACCACCCAACATATTTACCTCCATCACACATCAACAATCAGTGTCATCACCACCACCCAACATATTTACCTCCATCACACATCAACAATCAGTGTCATCACCACCACCCAACATATTTACCTCCAACACACATCAACAATCACTGTCATCACCCCAATCTCCATCGCCTGTCTCCGACCCCCGCAACCCATCTCCGACCCCCGCCACCCATCTCCGACCCCCGCCACCCATCTCCCAGGTAATCAGATGATGCTAATGTGCCCTCGTGATGAGGGTATTCAGATAGCGTGCCATAACCTACGAAGTGCAGCTCGTCTGTTGTCCTCTCCCCGACCCGCTTCTGCAGTATCCGCTTCACCTCCGAGGATGTTTTCGCCTGTAATATGAAGATATAGAAGTAATTACTGCGCGGTGATTTATCACCTGACACTTGTGAAGTATAACATGACGATAACGCAATAACGATGACATATTAGCCTACCTAAAGATCAAAATACCGTCGTTCTTTCCGATAGACACACTATACCGAACCTTCAGCCAGTACGCAAGCCCTATGAGCTCATTTGTAAGGTGAATTATGACCATAGGCCCATTCGAAAGCGATGACATGTCAGACAACAGGGCCCCGCAAAGCGATCATAGCGCTACGGCACCCCTTGTTAAAGTATGGGAGTTACGATCACCTTAGTGCTACGACAGTCGTAGGTCTACGCTTAAGTATGGGAGTACGCTGAGAACGATCACCTTAGCATTACGACCGCCTTAGCATTACGACCGCTTTGTGTAACAGGGCCGTCCCCAAAACTGCATCCTTCTGCTTTACCCAGATAGTCAGAAGTACTGTATTCCTGGCAGCAAATCCCAGGCTGCGTCATACCAAAAGACGTTAAAAGATGGTACTTGTTGTTACCCTGTCTGGCGCTCGGCATTAAAGGGCTAAAACAAAGACTGGTCGGCTCGGAGTCAGTATACTGTGTCTGAGTGGGGTATTCATGTTAAACTGCGGCATGGTATCTCAGTGTGCTAGCACCATAAATCGGCATCAGTCCGAACTAGTACAAGCAGTCACACACACACGTGCATGCACGTCGCTGTATAAGTGCAATAATCTTGGACGCGACGTTAAACCCCATTTCACCTCACCTCCTGGCAGCAAACCCGGGTTTATATTTTGTGCAATCGAGACTGGACCAAGCAAACCAGAGTTCGACAGCAGTCATTGTGACCTCCCGGTCCTTCACTTTAGATACAGTGAAGCCCAGGAGTTCTTATTGTCCTGGGTGCCGTTAAACTCGGTACCTCCCATACCTTGGCATAGACTTACGACAGTCGGTAAGCTAAGGTTGTTTTCTACAACGGCACTCTAGGCTGATGGGTAGCCTTGTGGTTAAACCGTGCGCTCGAGTCCCGGGTTCGTTCCCCACATGGGTATGGCGGTCAGAAGATCTAATAGTCACACACGTACGTCACCGAAGATACACTACTCAAAAGTTAAGAACACCCGATTCTATAGTTAATCTGCCATGCCATGGCGGATTATGTAATTAATTATATTGATATGAAAGCATCTTTTACTTGTTTTGACTGGTATGTGTCTTTGTAACTTGTGGTGAATTGTTTACATGAATTACTAGCGGGGTGTAGGGGAGTTTACAAGCTGCTTCAGTCTGGTGGTGAAAGCCCAATCCCCGCATGCCGCACGCCGCACGCCGCTCAAGGCACACGTGTCTCACAGTATCTGGTCAGAAAGAATGATTTATTTGGTTGGTTTGTTGTTTAACGCCACACTCAGCAATATTCCAGCTATATGCCGTAAAAGGCGAGTAACGGGATCAGGCGGTCAAGCTCGCTGACTTGGTTGATGCATGTCATCGTATCCTTATTGCGTAGTCCGTGATATAACTGAAATACTGTTAAAAGCGGCGTTAAACCCAACTCACTCACGCACTTAGATCGATGCTCATCATGTCAATCACTGGATTGTCTGGTCCAGACTCGATTATTTACAGACCCGCCGTCATATAGCTGGAATATTGCTGAGTGCGGCGTTCAACAACAAACAAACAACAAAGATACATTCGGTACCCGTGAAGATCCGGGGTAGAATAGGTCTTCAGCAACCCAGACTTGTCGAAGTGGCGACTATGCTTGTAAAAGGCGACTAACGGGATCTGGTGGCCATGCTCGCTGACATGATTGATGCATGACATCGTATCCCAATTGCGTAGATCGATGCTCATGATGTCAATCACTGGAGTGTCTGGTCCAGACTCGCTTATTTACAGACCGCCGTCATATAGCTAGTATATTGTTGCGTGCGGCGTTAAACAACAAACATACAAACAATAGATACATTCGGAAGTCGTAGTTTGAGTTCGTTTACGAGATACAGAAATCGGGTATGCTGTCTCATGTTTCGGGCAGGCGTAAGAAGAATTTGAAAACCTCGACCTCCTATGGGGGTGTCCTCCGTTCATCACGCAGCCAAGTATGGTATCGGAGCAAAACATTTTAATGACACTGGGTCCGGATAAACATTGTAGAACCCTGAATAGTGTAATGATTTGTTTAGTTTTTTTTAACTGGCCAGAACGGTACAATCTACGTATTCTGGAGAAAAACATATTTACCTCCGGTTCAGTAAAATTTCTTTGGTGGTCAAATTGTATGAATATTGTTTACCTCTTTTGTTGTCCGGTACTCTGTGATGTCAAACAACAAGTTCTTGTTTACAGAAGTGTCCGCAATAAGATTTAACGTCTGATAAAAGTTCAACACCTCCTTCACTCTGAAAAAGAATGATTAGTGTTAATTTGTACTTCCTAGCTAACAACCGCTGCTATAAATGCTCGACACAACCTGCAATAGTGTGAACCATAACCTCGGGTGTCCCTCACAACGAATCAGATACAAACACATTATGAAAACGCGTAATGGAATTTGGGACATAATTGTCCAGGAACTGACAGAAAAGAAAGAAATTGGTAGTGAGGCCTGAAGACATGCAACATTGCAATAGTGTTGTCTGAGTTTGAACCAATACGCGAATAGTATCACGTTATCCTTTAACAACATGTCTCCACGTAACACAAGATGTTTCGCCTATACCTATAATGTTAACAAGAGATGTAGTGTGACCTAGGGTCATGCATGCTGCAAACATGTTTGACACAAATTATGTCATTGTTGTGAGACGTTAAATCGTCTGTGGTTACAGCCGACTACAAGGCCACGTCAACGACCACAAAATTACATAAAAATGAAGAAAATATTTATATTCGGGCATGACATTTTACAAACTTGTGACTGATATTTTCAGTAAGATCAATGATTAATATACGATAATAACCAACTTTCGTCGCGTTATTGTTTGTTTAATGGAAACTAATTGTGAAACCCCGCGTGTCGGAACGATGGTTGACGGACCTTAGACCGATCAAAACTCTTGAACGACTTTAAACCCCACTTCACCTCAGTTCGACTGTGGAAGTCGAGTCACCTGCTGGGTTGTGCATACGAGGGATTTAATCACGAATCAGTGTTGCAACAGATGTACGTGCGCGCCGCGCCGACCACAGGTCTGCCACTGGTTGTCAGGTTCGGTGACACTCATATAGCTGAGTGCGGCGTTAAACAAAGAGACTTGTACGAGACTAGGTTTTTAAGTTCAATCACGGCCTCGTTATTATGGTGACAGTTTCGCATGACATTCGCTATATGAGTATTCTTGTGGCGCTTCACTCAGTAATGGGGCCACATTCAATAATGGCGTGTGAGGGAAGTGGTTTTGACACCGCAGTCTTCAACGTCCCCGTTATGTCACATCCACAAAAGGGTAGATTCGAACCCGGTGATCTGGTGTGAGGTGAGGTGAAATGGGGTTTAGCGCCAGGCAGGGTAACAACAAGTACCATCTTTTAACGCTTTGGTATGACGCGACCGGACGGATGCTCTACCACAAGACCAGACCCGTGAAGATCCGGTGTAGAATATGTCTTCAGCAACCCAGGCTTGCCGTTAAAGAAGACTATGCTTTTCGTAAGAGGCGACTAACGGGATCGGGTGGTCAGGTTTTTTTTGTTTGTTTGTTGTCAGCCCCTCCATTTGTACTCTTGTGAATTCCCACCACCTGAGAATACTTCCAACCAAATATTGTATATGTCCATTTCTAAGTTCAAGATAAAAAGTCGTTTTAAGCAATATTGCCAAATAACCTTATTAGCCCCGCCCCTCAGTCCCCGGGGGTGGGGTTCAGCCCCTCCGTTTCTCCAGTTTGAAACCCCACCATTGGAGAATGCTTCCAACCAAATATGGTTGATATCTCTCAGTTCCAGAGAAGAAGTCGTTTAAAACAATATGGCCAAATTACCCCTATTTGGCCCCGCCACTCAGCCCCTTGAGGGGTCAGCCCCACCATTTGTACAAGTTTGAATCCCCACCACCAAGGGATACTTCCAACCAAATATGGTTGATATCTCTCAGTTCCAGAGAAGAAGTCGTTTAAAGCAATATAGCCAAATTACCCCTATTTGGCCCCGCGCCTCAACCCCTTGGGGGGGTCGGCCCCACCATTTGTACAAGTTTGAATAACCACCACCTTGTCAAATTTCGTAAATTTACAATTAGTAGTTTAGAAGAAGTCGTTTGAAAAAATTCTCTACGGACGGACGACGGACGCCTCGGTATGGCACAAGCCCACCTTGGTCCTTCGGACCCGGTAAGCTAATAATCGAGTCTGGACCAGACAATCCAAGGCGCCGCAGAGCAGAGTTGTGTCCCTTGGACACTCCAGAAACCAATGATTGTGGGTTCGAATCCCGGATCACCCCGTTTAAGTTCCTGGGTTTGTCAGCACCATACCCATCCTCTCTGGGTTTTCCGAATTGGTAAACGTCTGATCACTTTGGGCTTTCCTCCCACACCAAGCTAACACGCCGTGATGTAACTGGAATACTGTTCAAAGTGGCGTTAAACCCAACTCACTCACTAAAACATTTTCCTAGAGGATCCCGTTGTAACGCTAAGCATGGTTTTATATGCTTCGTCGTTCCCGTTTAATGAAACCATCCTGGACATATTTGAAGGGATACGTATAACACCGAGTCAGTTTGATTTAATCATTCCATATATACGGGACGTTAATCAGGCTGATTGGATACCTCGTTATGCCACAGTAGAGGGTCCTTTGTATTGCAGACAGATCCGTCATGATTCGGTTATTCTAAAGAAAGATACAATCACATCGCGTGAGGGTTTGATAGGGCCTTTAGGCTATGTTTCAGCTGATAACATGACACGGGTCCTGGGCAGGCTTGCAACACTTACTTGTGCGAGTGAATGCGCCATGTTCTGAACAACAGAACGATGAACCGGCACAGTTTCTTGAACCGCGGCTTGTGCTTAGTCTGAAATGAAATCTCCACATCGTATTCATAATGGAATCAGGTATCCATGAATAATTCCTACCTTGGGGCAGGAGTGTATTTTCCATTGCCGCTTTAGTTTGAAATATTGGGGCAACCTAAGTAGATTACATAGCTGGTAAGTTGGTAACATACCTAAGGCCACAAAAATCGCTTCTTGTTGTTCCAACCTCAAGTTGTCATCGCATTACCTGTGTTCGTGGGTTTTACCAAAGTGGCAACGTTCTTATGACCTGTGTCACCTTGGGCTTCTCTCAAATAAAGCGGATACGCCATATATAACCGATATTCTTCACAAAGCGACATTAAACCGGAGTCCAGTATTCTTTGATTATGACAGCGGTCTGTAGATAAGCGCGTCTGGACCAGACAATCCAGTGAATGACATCATGGGCATCGATCTACGCAATTCCGATGACATGCATCAACCAAGTCAGCGAGCCTGACCACCCGATCCCGTTAGTCGCCTCCAACGACCAGCAAAGTCGCCTTTTACGGCAAGCATGGGTTGCTGATGACCTTTTCTAACCCGGATCTTCACGGCTCCCCATGTCAATAAGATTGGTTCATCCGATTGGCAGACAGGGGTGACACCTTCATATAATCGTTTATGACAATATATCCATGTGATTAATACCTGAGTTGGGGCACGGGTGGCCCAGTCGTCTGAGGCGTCGCGATTCGCTGTGCAGAGTTGCGTCCCTTGGGCACGCCAGGAACCTATGATTGTGGATTCGAATCCCAGTTCGCCCTGATTATGTTTCTAGGTTTGTCAGCATCATACCCGTGCTCGTGGGTTTCACCGAAGTGGTAAACGTCTGAGACCTGCAACACTTCGGGATTTCCTGAGCATTAACTGGAATACTGTTAAAAGTGGCGTTAAAACCAACTCACTCACTAATAGCCAAGTGATGGAGATAAATACTACGCAGAAAAGTTGAGGACCAGGGGTCCTTTCATATTACTTAGGTAATAGTATGACATGGCAGATAAGTATAGTAATATGAAAGAATCGGGGGTCCTCAACTCTTTGAGTGGTATACGTGTATGTGTCATAAAGTCTGACATAAACGTTGTAATGGATGCCTTACCTTGTTGGTTGATAATCCCTTCCAACGTACAGTCTTGTGTTCAGACATGATCGAAGTATGCCCGTGTCTTTCTGTGGCGTGTGTATCACTCTGGTGTATGTGTTGTGTAACTAGTTCTACAGAACCTTGTGATCAGTTCTGATAGTGATGCTGCACCGTCACATGCAGCATTCAATGGCTTTTCCTTACCATTCCCTTGCGGGAAATACGAACTGTCGTCTCACAGATGAATACCCTCGCACTTGTTCCTGATGTAATGCAATATAGACAGATTTTACTTATCCAATCGGTCAGACGAGGTATTAAATGTCCCAGACGCCATACGAGGTACCAAGTGTCCCAGCGGTCAGACGAGGTATCAAAATTAGTGTCCAAATGGCAAGACGAGGCATCAGATGTCCCAGTGGTTATTGGAAGCATCAGATGTCTAGGCGGTTAGAGAAGGCATCGAATGTCCCAGCGGTCAGAGGAGGCATCAAATGTCCCAGCGGTCAGACGAGGTATCAAATGTCCCAGCGGTCAGACGAGGTAGCAAATGTCCCAGCGGTCAGACGAAATCACACCAGGCACTGGGTAGACAGAAGGGTGAGATCTGGACATGTGTCCAGAGAAACCCAAATGACACATTCTTAACCTGTTCCGTAAGATATCGGTTAGATGCGTGCTTAGCGTTCATGCCCCAACTCCGGTATGGGGGCCAGGGGTATATCTGCTTCAACATCCAAGCATGTTCGTTTTATGTTCAAAGTCATATGAGCGTCACGCCTATCGCGCACCTGTTATCGGCAGAGATTCACGGCTATGACAAAACGAACGATTCTTTTGGCGACCAATCCTTTGATAGGTATTGAATGATATTGTAACAGTCCCCCTGTTGTTGAATGTCTGATTGTTGATAAATACTTATTACCCAAACACAAATCTTTTATCTATGGAAATGACGATTTGGTTTGTTTGAAACCGACTGGCCGCACGGTATACGCGAATGTGTCAATCTGTTATCGCTCTTAATGCTGACGAGGAAATGTATATCCATGGAGCTATACACACAGCACACAATCCTTGCATATATTTCAATTTAACGATATGAGTTATTGTATGTTAGTTACCTTCCGACACGCTCGGGAATGACCAACGGAGATTGTTATGTTATATTTTGGGTGTTCGTCAAGAAAGAAAGAAATTCGGTACATGCACCTAGAAAAAAGTAACCACCGCTTACTACATTATAACATTTTTTAGAAATCGTATCCTGTATCAGTTTTCTCATAAAGACCGTTTGTTTTTGTTTACAACGTGACATACTTATATTGAAATACAGAAACAAAAATCCTTTCTTTTCTTTTTTGCTTAACGCCACAATATTTCAGGTCTATGGCGGCAGTCTGTAAATAATCGAATCTGGGCCAAACAATCAAGTTTTTGATATTGTGACCAGCGATGTAACTAACTCAATCAACCAAGTCACTGAGCCTTACTACCAGGGCCCACTTGCACAAAGCGATCTTAGCGCTAAGATGATCGTAACTCCCATACTCTAACATAGGCTTACGGTAGTCTTAGCGCTAAGATCGTTTTGTGCAAGTGGGCCCAGATCCTTTTGGTCGCCTCTTAAGACTAGCATAGGTTGGTTGTTGGTGCCCTATTCTAACCTGGAATCCCCACAAGGGAATACCATCGTTAACCTATGGCATGTTTTGTAAGTGTTCCATGGCAATATTTGATTTCTCTTTCAACTGCTTCATCTGCTTCTTTGAAGCATATTGTATATGACTCGGTACTTGCGGCTGTTTCAGCTGCTACCGAGTATTTCTACAAAGTCCTGGGGGCCCAGTCGTCTAAGGCGTCGCGAAGGGTTGTGTCCCCTTGGCGTGCCAGGATCCTATGGTTATGGGTACGGTTTTCATCACCTTACCCGTGCACACCTTTCAATCAAAGCTGGAAACGTCTGAGGCCTACGTACATTTCTTCGGACTGTTCTGTCGTGAGTTAGTGGGTTTGGGTTTAACGCCGCTTTGAACAGTATTCCAGTTATATCACGGCTTGTCAGCTTAATGTGGGACGAAAGCTTGAAGTGATGCAGGTCTCAGACGTTTACCACTTTTGGTGAAACCCACAAGCACGGATATATAATGCTGACAAACCTAGAAACACAATCGAGGCGTCTCTCACATCAAGCTGACTGAAAAGCTGTTCAAAACAGCCTTAAATCAAACTCACTCCATCCTACTTATCCAGAGTACCGTCACGCAAGACCCATGGAGATCCGGGTTAGAACAGGTCTTCAGCAATCCATGCTTGCCGAAACAGGCAACTATGCTTGTGTAACGGGATTGGGTGGTCAGGCTTGGTTAATTCATGTCATAGTGTCCAAATTGCGTAGATCGATTCTCATGTGTGTTTTGTTTGTTATTTAACGCCGCACTCAACAATATTTCAGCTATATGACAGGGGTACTAAATAATCGAGTCTGGGCCAGACAATCCAGTGATTGACGTCATAAGCATCGTTAATTCATGTCATAGTATCCCAGTTGCGTAGATCGATTCTCATGTTTGTTTTGTTTGTTATTTAACGCCGCACTCAGCAATATTTCAGCTATATGACAGGGGTATTAAATAAACGACTCTGGGCCAGACAATCCACTGATTGACGTCATCAGCATCGATCCACGCAATTGGGATACGATGACAAGTATCATCCAAGTCAGCGAGCCTGACCACCCGATCCCGTTAGTCGCCTCTTACGTCAAGTATAGTCGCCTTTTGCAGCAAGCATGGGATGCTGAAGACCTATTCTTTACCCGGAATCTTCACGGGTCATCAATCAATAGATTCCCTGGTCCAGACTCGATTATTTACTGACCACCGTCATATAACTGGAATATTGCCGAGTGCGGCGTTAAACAACAAACAAACAAACAAACAAACAAACCGTCACATCACAAAACCCCAGACCACAAATACATCTTGCGTGTCTTAAGAAACAACTGTAAAACGTTGTGATGTGTGACATTGTACCCTAAGAGCTAGGGTAGGTTCTCTTGCTATCAACGACTGGTTTGACTTCTCCAATCTCCGCGACATACCTGCATACAGCATTAAACACCGTTCTCTCACTCTCGCATATCGAGGTGATTGATGATTACTGAAAAGATATGGAAATTTCAGCAACCTATGATCTTATATCATGTTCTGATAGAGAAGCCTTTAATGTTAACTCATTTGTTGCACAGCTTCACCGTGTCGTCATAGATATTGTACATGTCCAGCTTTCCCACGGAGATCCGAACAGGAAAAGAATTTGTCAATCTATCAAAGCCTTGACCAATCTTCCTGCTGTGCCATGCTCGAGACATTGTTCTTGTGGAATTGTGGTAGCTAGACTGAACAAAACAAATATGAACATGAATATGTTTTTGTAGTGAAGACTGAGCACACAATTTCATGAAAATATCCCCAAAAATATTCATGATCCCTAACTTTTCTTTTTGTTCAGTATATTAGTGAGTGAGTTAGGTTTAACGCCGCTTTTAACACCATTCCAGTTATATCACGGCGTGTCAGCTTAATGTAGGAGGAAAGCCCGAAGTGATGCAGGTCTCGGACGTTCACCACTTCGGTGAAACCCACAAGCACGGTATGGTGCTGACAAACCTAGAAACATAATCGGGGCGAACCGAGATTCGAACCCACGATCATAGGATTCTGGCGTGCCCAAGCGACGCAACTCTGCACAGCGAATTGCGGCGCCCTAGACGACTGGGCCACCCGTGCAGTATATTTAATGCCCATAGAATGTGAGAAGACAGACTATGGTTCGAATCATAACTCATACAAACGAACTAGGGCTGCAAAATGGCGATAGCCAACGGAGTTCCTCTTTAAGGTTTAATACCTGCCTACAGCGCAGGTAAGAATATTATGTTTCGGAATATGCTTTAGATCACAAATAGAACTCTATATAAACCCTGCACATAGCCTTGCACCTTTTACCATGAAGAAGTCCAGTAATTAGGTTCTGGTCTGATTAACATAAACTGCGCATTGTGTCGAAGCCTTTTGTTCCTTTTTAGTTCCTGGAGGTGATTACAGCTGTCAGCCGACAGTTTACACGAGATTAATATTAAACCCAGACTAATGAGTTATTGCCCTAGTCTCTTGTTGCTCTATTGGTGTAGTGGATAGATCGATCGATCAACTGGCCGCCTCATACTAAAGAGACCCATGAAGATCCGGGGTAGAGAAGGTCTTCACCAACCCATGCTTGACGTAAAAGGCGACTGTGCTTGTAAGGGGCGACTAACGGAATCGGGTGGCCAGGCTCGCTGACTTGGTTGATGCATGTCATCGTATCTCAATTGCGTGGATCGATGACCATGACATCAGTCACTGGATTGTCCGGTCCAGACTCGATTATTTACAGCCCGCCGTCATATAGCTGGAATATTGCTGAGTGCGGCGGTAAACAACAAACAAATAAATCATACTAAAGACGTTAAAAGATGGTATTTGTTGTTACCCTGCCTGCATTGCGCTCGTCCTTGCGGAGAAAAATCAAGGACTGGTCGGCTCGGAGTCGGCATGATCTGTCTGAAGTATGGTGGCCGAGAAGGGACATCGCTATCTCGCCTTCACTTACGGCCGCGAGAAAGCGATGAAGCTATAACAGGAGACGAGAAAGCAATGTACATATCGCTTTCCGGACTAATACTAGCAACCACACGTTCATCGCAAAATGAATCCAGTGACAGAAGTTTGAATGCAGGGTTCGATCCCCGGCCGAGTCATACCAAAAGACGTTAAAAGATGTTACCCTGTCTGGCGCTCTGGCATTAGGGGCAAAAACAAGGACTGGTCGGCTCGGAGTCAGTATGCTGTGTCTGAGTAGGGTATTCGTGTTAAACTGCGGCATGGTATCTCACTGAGCTTGCACTATAAATCGACATCTGAGTCATCAGTCCGGACGAGTACAAACAGCCACGCACACACGCACACACGCACACACGCGCATACACGTCGCGCTATATAAGTGCAATAATCTTGGACGCGACGTTAAACCAAATTTCACCTCAACTCAAGACATAAATCTATCTCCGATATAGAAATCTGTTCATTTGATACACGGCACATTATTTTGATGAATATCAATCCTGACAACCGCTCCACCACCATTCGTTTTAGAATATTTTATGTCCGTTTCACTTACTTTAAATCACCCATGGTTTCAAAACCCACACTTTCATGGATCAGCCAATAATACATACATCTTCGTTTGTGAAACTTCCCAGGTTTTTGCCTCGGGCATCATAACATGCATGGTCTATAACTGCACTAAAGACTGTTCAAAGACATGTTGAACCCAACTCAAGGACATTGTATAGCATGGTCCAGGTCCTTATAAATTGCATGAGGCATCCCCATCTTCTGACTTCTATGACAACTCAATTTTGGATGAGCAGGTGTGTGTATCGAAAGTCTGTGTGTTTGAATCCCAGAATCGCCATGATATCTAGGTTTGTCAGCACCTTACCCATGCTCCTGGGATTCACGGAAGAGGCAATGCTGGAGACTGATTCACTTTGGCTCTCCTCCCACATGAAGCCAACACCACTGCCATAACTGAAATAATGTTCAAAACATGTTAATCCAACTCACTCACCCTTTTATTCATCCGATAATGATAGTTACTGGGGTAGCCTAGTGGTTAAAGCATTCGCCATGCCAAAGACCCGGGTTCGATTTCCCCACATGGGTACAATGTTTGAAGCTCATTTCTGGTGTCCCCTGCAGTGATTTTGCCGGAATATTTCTTAAAGCGGCATAAAACTATAGTCGCTCACTCACTCTGATAATGATGAAAACACTGACAATTTTTAAAAGAAACAATTTATTCCCATGACAACAAAATACTTAATACAATTCTGCAGCTGTTTACCATAGTTTGATCTCATCAAAATACCACACACAATAGGCAGCATCCAGGTGAACCAGACAGTCTGCCACTGAGTGAAAACAACCCAACCAAAGTAGCTTGGTCTTTCGTCTACAAATTGCAATTCCTACCTTATCAAAACGTTCATAACAATAACAACAAAACTATTGCCTTAAACAGGAAAAACTAAAAAAAGAGCATTTGTCCTTGAATTTGGAGCAGCATAATTCATGTCGGCTGTGAAACATTACAATGACTAAACCAATGAAAGCCAACCAAATGCAGTAAAATAATGTGATATCTGTTCACATCAGTAAGTATGTCCTATTAACTAGAACCCGGAATAAGGACATAAACGTAGATTTGTTAAAATTGAGATGCTGTGCTAACAAGCTTAATGATAAACTAATATCTGGAGACTAGAATATCTTATTGTTATTTTTCTGTGCTACCAGACCTGGTTCTAGCCATAGCACTAGGCTCCCAGCATGTCCATGGAGCTACCAGACCTGGTTCTAGCCATAGCACTAGGAACCTGGCATGTCCATGGAGCTACCAGACCTGGTTCTAGCCATAGCACTAGGAACCTGGCATGTCCATGGAGCTACCAGACCTGGTTCTAGCCATAGCACTAGGCTCCCAACGCGTCCATAGAGCTACCAGACCTGGTTCTAGCCATAGCACTAGGCTCCCAACGCGTCCATAGAGCTACCAGACCTGGTTCTAGCCATAGCACTAGGAACCTGGCATGTCCATGGTGCTACCAGACCTGGTTCTAGCCATAGCACTAGGAACCTGGCATGTCCATGGAGCTACCAGACCTGGTTCTAGCCATAGCACTAGGAACCTGGCATGTCCATGGAGCTACCAGACCTGGTTCTAGCCATAGCACTAGGAACCTGGCATGTCTGTGGAGCTACCAGACCTGGTTCTCGCCATAGCACTAGGCTCCCAACGCGTCCATGGAGCTACCAGACCTGGTTTCCTCTTTACAAGTACTACAGGCGCTGCTACTGACATTCTCGCCTCAACACTCACACAAACCTCACCACATGGAGTCCATTCCTGAGGTGAACAGAGGATAAGTTCCTTGTCCAGATAATGAGCTTACCTAAAACATTTTATACAATATTTAAAAGATTATGAACCATATGGAACAAATCACAATATCTGTTCACCAATTATCCATGACATGCTTCAAGCAGCTGCAAGGATGAATTCATCTTACACTGCTTCAATAGTGCTGAATATTATATGCAGGTTTCTCCAAGTATTTGGGAAGAGAACCAATACTCAGCTGCTTTACCCACTGGGCCACCCAACAGCACTGTAACACAAGGAAGGTATGGGCAAAAGTTTAATAGCATATATATTACTCAAAAGAAGTTAAAGAATGCCCAGTTCTTTCATATTACTACATGTATAGTTAATCTATCATGACAGGTTAGTTACAGCAATAAAAAAGAATCAGGTGTTCCCTAACTTATATTGAGTAGTATGTATCTAGGCCCTTTTGTCGACTTCCCTGGCCAGTCCGCCTGTTATGATGTCTGTCAGTCCAGTAAGAAGACTAATGAATGGGTACAGGTTCACTAACATAATCTGTAATGGAAATGTGGTCTCTATATTTATACAGGCAGAAACAAACATTCATTTTGATCAGGGGATATGATACTTGATTATATTCCATGTGATTTGGATCTGAAATTACAAAATCATAAAATATACAGAGACAATACAGCTGTAAATCTAAACTGCATAAATAGGAATAACTATAGGTAAATCTGTATAGACTTAAATACATCAATATATATACATGTACAAAGACTTGCAACACAGGCCAACAATCGCAACAAATGAAACATCAGATGGTGTTTGTTGGATCATTCTCAGTACACAGACACTCTGGATGTAGGAATCTGGTTTAATATATTTTCTGAGAAGGTGAAATCTGAGATATTGACAGGGATGACTATGAAGAAACGAACAGAAGAGGCAGAGCTCACAGAGGATCAGAACTTTGACACAAATGTGTTGGGTGTCTTTGATATCAGTGTCCTGTGCCTGAAGTTAATTCCATGTCATCCAACTTGGTAAATAATGACCAAAGATTGTATTGAACTTAAATATACAAACTGGTTATCCTTATAATTTTTCTTATGTTTGAGGGGAAAAAAATCAAACTAGCCAGTCTGGATAAACTGATGTATTGTGAGTCACCATTAATGTAGGTTTACAGTTCGAGTTATTTCCCCTTGTCCATAACGCCTGCACAAAATACCTCTGTCAGTAGGTGCTCCATCTAAAAACAAATGGCTACAGACATAATTCCACTGGTGAAGGTAAGCAATAGTTGGTCTGAAGCAGCATATGTATGTAGTGTGTGGAATACTGAACTAACTCGGCAAAGACAACAAACCTCTACCCACATTCTTGCAATGCAAAATAACCAACATGTGGTACAGCGAGTTATTATCACTAACATTAACTTATGTGACAATAACTATTAACATACCAATCATTATAAAGCAGTTTTCATATATATTATTGTAAAAATTCATGTGACCTTAGACTTGATAGGATCTCCCTGACTCAGAGATTGGACAGTTCAAGGCCCCTAACAGTGACACCATTGTACCGAACACAAGGAAAGACCACCCCACGCAGTGCGTGACACCATGTTGGCATAACGTGTGGCATGTGTGCCTCAAGCACCTGTGGAATGAACCAAATCATGTTCCAACTGACGAGTGTTATTCAGGGAGCATTTCTCTAATTTGAAATGAACATCAGGTGCAAAATCACAGCCCTGTCAGTAATCTTGCAAGGGAGATGTCAATTATCATTTACACTTTGTGGTCATGACCACTTGAGATCCACCAGGACCAACAGGACCAGTAGAGTTTCTAGATATCTGGAGGACTAGTATTTATTTCTAACTCAGAGTTAGAAACTGGCACTATTCCTGTAGTCCTTGCCAAACTGCCCAATGTTTAAGGTATCATAAGGACCAGTAGAAATTTGCCCTTTATAAGGCTTTTGCTACTTGTTATCATTATAAGGACTAGTGGACGAAAACTGTTAGTTTCTACCCCTGTAACTACAGGTCCTCTAGACGACTAACAAATTCCAGTCACTGTCAAACACGGCTAAGGGTATAAAGTTGATCCTACAGATGCCATTCCCCTGGCTCCACAACTCGCTACAAATTACAACAAAGGAAAACAACCCTCGTCACAGATCCGCTAATTAACATTCATGTATACTGACAAGTTCAACTGCGTTAACAATCTCTAAAAGTCCCCAGCTCCTCCCCAGTGATATGCTCTGCCACATTTCATTACGGCATCTACAACAACATCCGTATAGCAGTAGTCAACGGGAATCACTAAAACACTTTCATCTTTAACAACTGACATAAACATCGGACATTCCAATTGTTGAGTGGCATAGACACACATACACTTGAGATTCTCACCTTACATTGTAAGATAGGTCCTGTAACAATTTCTCTTCGTCCTGGTCCCAAAACATTTGCACACAAGGATTTGGCACAAGACCGACACTTGAGGAAGAATAAAAACATGTCTTTCTGAAGACCCCCTCACATATAGTAATGAGATTTCCTTTGATTCATTTTATAATTGATATGTAATTCAAACATAATTCAATTTGATTTCTTCTGTGTATTTACAATATAGTCAAAAGATATCATTTCATAATCAATGAGTGCTTACGACAAACACAAACACAAGGCATCGTCTCCATGACCCTCATGTAACAGCATGTCAGCATCGTTCCCCTCTGGGCACCAAACAGCAGGAGTGCCACTAAGGTGACACTGCAATGAGCATACGGCCTAAATACATCTATTAAACTGTAACACGAAGACTGAACCCAGTCAACACTCTTCCCTCTAGTATCTGCATGCCAAGGCCCCACAACATAGAGCTTCATAAACACAGAAAAACAAGTAAAGAGGCATCCAGTTCGTAACTCCATACTTTCTTTCACATTGGTCATAGATCCATGTACAGCTAACTGTGAAAGCACATAACAAGATTGAGTGATTGACATAACACAGATAAAGAGATTTCTATCTCATCCTCACAATGTCTTCAGCGTTTGGCATTTAGTTACACGTAGCACCTTATATCTATCAACATGATTTGATCAACAAGTAATGAGACACAGTTATTCTGTGAGAACAAAGTCCTGGAGTTTACCTCCCTTGATATGTGATGACAGAAACATGTTTTGCAAAAACACATTCCAAAATAAAAAACATGGGTGTTTCAAGTTTTTAAGACAAGAGTTCAAATCTAATTACTTTAACTTCCCAAGGCTAAAGAAAAACATTTTTGACAAAGGTCTTCTATTCGAGTCCAAAGATGTTTTGAGTTTGGTACCGGTCATTTATTACAGGGGTGGGAGAGAGGTGGTGGGGGGGTTGTCATAGGTTTTAGATGCACTGATGTACTGAAAATAATGATCCTCAGCAATTGCTTTTCATATTTTTGGATGACCCTCCCCATGTCCTTGTACAATTTTTTCATGACCCTCCCTGAAATGCAAATGCATGTTATCTTTATCATAAAATGTCCATTTTTTACATGACTCTCCCCAAATAGGTGTATTATTTTTTAGGTTTGTTTGTTTCTTTAAAGTCTTACTCGGCATTATTATTATGACAATGGTCTGTAAATAATCGAATCTGGACTCATCATTCTACACAACTGGAATACGATCATCATGCATCAACCACGTCAGCGAGCCTGACCACCCAATCCCGTTAGTCGCCTCTTACGACAAGCATGGGTTGCTGAAGATCAATACTAACCCAGATTCTAACCTTGACGATTTGTATTGCCCGCAGACCCACCCTCCCCTACAATAAATGACCCGTCCCTTAGCAAAGCATCCTCGATGCCACGAAGTTTCTCCATTTTAATTTCCCATCATATTTCGACCTGCAAGATGTCCCTAGTAAGATAGGCATTACTGTTGTTGATATAACCAGGCTTGCCCACCTCAAAACTTGCTCTGACTTGAACATTTCAATTTTTGAAACCAGAGCAGGCCAAAGGGCAGACAATCCACATTTGAAATAAAACTCTGTCATCGAAGGATGAATACTGAAAGACTTTGGTATTGCTGTTCCACACTCTATCTACAATTTGATAAAATTCTAGATCTTATGGCACTGTTATCGTTACCGTTTGATATTGAAAAATCTTTCTTCTAATATTCGTACAAGTCGTTCTCTCATAAGAGATTTGAAATTTTCATACCACTGAATCAGCTTTTGTCTTCTTTTAACTTTATCTTCATGAGGCATTTTCGCCTCTTGGTCTAAAATGTCTGCGATCTGATTCCAGTCTCTCATATATACAATGGGTGCGTTATACTCTTTGAGCAAGCGCAGAGGAGCAACAAGGGAAGCACTGGATGACCCACAATTCCCTGGAGTCATCACATCCTCCACAACAGGAAGTGAACCGTAGGATAACGCCTCATAAATGCGGTAACATTCGGTGTTGATCCCGACAGGGTTGAGGGTGAGATCACTCTGGGCCAGAGCTCGCATGTATTCCTCCCGAGTTGTGTCTGTCTCTTGGGGCATCCATCTGGAAAGAGGCAGGAACCGGTGGATTAGTGATGTACACTCAGTGTTTTGTGAACAGCATGCATCGTTAGGTCATGTTCCATTGAATCATTTGTTTGGAGTGAGATTTACAGCTCCCTCAGTGCAAAGACTTATACACAGCTTCATTATTGAAGGGTCACCTAGGTATGTAGGGTATCAAACAGGACATATGCCAGCAAGTGTCAATAGGTCTGAGTATTTGACAATGTGATTTACAGCTGAAGAACATGTTGTTTATGCCTATGTCACCCTGATTGGATGCTTTTATAGAAGTGAAAGATGGAAGGTGATGGAAAAAGCTTCCCAAAACGCATGCCTGATCGTGGTTCAGCCCAGGCATGTGCACTACATGACCAGTAACAGTCAATGTGGGTATAAAATGGTTCATTCCAGACGCAACAGAACTGCACTCTGGGAAGTTGAAAATGCTATGTTTTATGAGTACTTATAACTCTTATTATCTGTGTGCCCCCTCAATAATGACTCAAGGTATATAATATTACTGTTACTTTCATCTCTTTTGCTGACTCTAAAAATATTTCATTTTCCTATCAAAGACAAGAACTCTTTATGAACACATGGCTTGATAATATTGTCAACAAATACCAAAGGTGCAAGACACAGTATTTCCAGGGTACGAATTTTGTAATTATTTGTTGTAATAGTATCATTCCCATATGTACCTCATGCAGTAATTTTCATTCACTACAATGAATGAATGTGCAGTCGCAACCACGAATCAATGAATGAAAGCGCAGCCAGGGACAGAATGATCTTGACTGAGTTGGCAAGATCACAACCATGTCATGGCAGCATGTAAGTTATTGACAAACCATTTGTTAATAGTGAGAGCATTTATCCATCAAGCTGCAATAACAAACTACTGCCTTGGAGGATCATCAACCAGTCTGTGCCGAAACCTTTGCGGCTACAAGCTCCGACATGACTTGATCTTAGTAAATCTTTGTGTTAGTGTATGGACTGTTATTAGCAAAGCTTACTAGACTTGGACTATGGACTAGTGACTAGTGTATCATACTCCATAGTTCATACTCGTCAGCCATTGTAGCTCTCCAATTGCTAGTTCCACTGGCTCTCACAACAAGCAAGGGGAGTTTCTGACTTATTCCGTGAGGACTTTTACAACAAGCAAGAGGGGCGGTTGGGTAGCCTAGTGGTTTAAGCGTTCGTTCGTCAAGCCGAAGACCTGGATTCAATTCCCGATGTCCCCCGCCGTGATATTGCTGGAATATTGCTAAAAGCGGCGTAAAACGATACTCACTCACTCTGACTTCTGTTGTTCAGAGCGATCTTAGCGCTAAGGTGATTGTAACTCCCATACCTTAACATAGACTTACGACAGTCGTAGCGCTAAGGTTGTTTTGTGCAACGGTACCCAGGGCATCACAAAGGGGTTCAAAATGAAAAGTTGGTTCCCCAGCCATGATGCCTGGCGCAAACAGCTCCCACATCCAAATAATGCATTATTCACAGCAAGAACTCACTCCTTCCTGGGCTTCACATAGCAGGATGACTTTAAGTTATTTCTCTCCAGGACATTCAGCAGGGTTTCTCGACTGGAGTTTCTGTATATTGTCCCCATAAAGTTGCACAAATATTTCCTGTGCATCGTCAGAGGTAGGTGGGCTGTGTCCACTTTGGGGAAGTCTCGATACCTGGAACATGCAGAAGAGGGCTACATGAAATACTCATTGCTTTGTCAGCATCTGTGTGACAATAAGGTGTTTGGGCACAGTGCGTAGCATCACCTAGAGCCTGGGTTTCAGACACATAACTGTGCCACTTGGTGCCGACATGCCGTGATATAACTGGAATATATTTGAAGCAGAGGTTAACCCAACTCGCTATAAATCCCTATGATCTTCATAAACTTGGGCCTTCCTTCAGCATAAGGCTGACACACTAAGATGTGACTGAAATGTTATACTATTTATTTATTCAGCCCAGCCCAACCCACGACCAATAGTAACCACTCAACTATTTTTAAAAACGGTAAATCTTTTTCACAAGTGGTCTTGATTGGTACAATGTTGGAATACACACATACATATGTGAAGGCTGACACTGTCATGTCGATGTTGTTCCTCGTTCTCAATACAGCAATCAGCTTCCATTCCCAAATGAGAACTGATCTCATTCAAATATCATTTCTGTAAATGTAACTATCGCAACTTCTACACCAGTGTTTCAAGCAATTCATCACAAGCCACCCCATCAAAATGATTTAGTTCTACAAACCAGGCAGCTATCTACATATCACCATCCTGAGGGTCCAACTATAGCACTGAGATATAAGAACTCAAACAGCAATGTTCCCTTTGGGTCTGTGTGTGCTATCTCAATGCACCACAATGAACTGTATATGATATATCATTTCCTTTGGGAAAAGTTACACCCACATTACTAGACTTCAGGACCACGATAGCTGATATATCATCATTGAAACATGTATAATTTTAAAATTTCCACAGACTTTGTCCCCAAAACTAATCAATACCAGCATATGTGAGTCTACAGAGCATCTGTACATAGAGTATTGTTGATGCTGTCCACTTACGTAGCAACACCAAGGGGCCACTGATAGAAGTTGACGTTGTCGATGTCAGGACTGTCGTACACGAGGAATGCAAATTTGATTGGTCCTCCTCTAATCTGCATGTAGGACTTGAGCCAATCGTTATTACACTGCTCGTTTCCCAATATTACGACAGCCACGTTTTTCAAATAGGGTAATGCTGGCAGGAAGTCTAGCCAGAGTTTAGCGAAGTCTATTTTGGAGGGTTCCCGTCCATTTAGTATCAGCAGGAGATTCTCTGTGTTCCGGGGCACCTTGCTGGGGATGACGCCAGGGCCTGTCCTCAGCCTGTCAATGAAACAGCAGAGCATGTAATTCCCATCACACCAGAAACACTGTTATAAGGTCAGGTAGCATCCTTAAATAACACAACAGAGACTATATACAATTACTTCCATTCATGACATGAGTGCCACAAAATCTGAATACAAGAGTTTGGCATGTGAGATGGAAACATAGTATAAAATACGGTGAGTGAGTGAGTTGTGGTTTAATGCCTCTTTTAACAGTATTCCAGTCATATCACGGCGTGTCAGCGTAATGTGGGAGGGAAGCCCGAAATGATTCAGGTCTTGGACGTTTACCACTTCAGTGAAACCCACAAGCACGGGTATGATGCTGACAAACCTAGAAACATAATCGGGGCCAACCGGGATTCCAACCCACAATCATAGGTTTCTGGTGTGCCCAAGGAATGCAATTCTGCACAGCGAACTGCAGTGCCTTAGACGTCTGGGCCAACCTCGCCCCCTATAAAATATGGACAGTCATGTGACTTTCTATTTATTACTGAATTAATAACGTTAGCATTACAATGCTGCTATGTGATGTGCGCAATCAGACAGTGCACCTGGCACCTGGGACACAGTATGCAGTGACGAGGACAAGCTGCCATGTTGCATGGCAACGCTGTACCCTATCAAGGTTGAGTCAAGGGCACCAAGAGTACTGTATGCTATTACAAGGATGAGCTCCCATGTTGCATACCTGTGCTATCAGACAAAGTTTCAAAGTATTTATGAGACAACTGACATCTGACTATTTCTGTCATCAATTTCAATTAATTATTTCACAAACTCCTTATGACATTTGAGAATCTCGTCCATTGCAATGTCCTTAAATCTTACCCCTGCAACAAACATTGTGTACACAATTTACTGACAAGCTGATTGATTATTGAACCATGTTGAAGAGACACATCATCTTCAACATGGGTTTAGCTGTAGCTGACACACCCTCACACGCTGAGAATTTATCTCAGTTACAACAAGACATAACGCCTTCAAATATTGTCTGAAGAAAATACATAAAGATTATTTAGTACAGTACCCTCGCAACAGGATGCTGCAAGAAGAATTAAAACTGTCCACAATTTTATAAAGGGATATAACACTTCTCCAGAGCCTCTCATAAATTGGCGACTACTTTACGACTTAAATCTAATTTTGATGCTTGGTCGGAGTCTCTCCAGGAAGCTTTATAAAAGTGTTCTTTTAACGACATTTATCTCGCTCCCCATCCACACTCATCATACAATATACATGCACATTTCTCACGCTCAAACTGGAAATCAGATCTTTGAGAATTTGAGAGGATCTAAGACGTAAATTTGGTGGGCATCAATTTGATTTTGGTCTCCAGTGTTATTAGCTCCATACACATCCATTATCCCCGGAGTGTGGCAATCTGGTGAGCGGCTTCTTGGTGGACTGATGATCAATACAGACTCATACAAAATTCTCAAAATCACCTTCAAGAAATTAGTTTGCTGTGAAATCATGTAAACCTTATCAAAGTCAGATTAATGTGCGATTTGCTGCACATGACTCAAAGAATTTTAAGAAATTGGTTTTTCTAAAACCATTTTGAATAACGTCAATTGTATACATTCTTCATGAGCCCAATGCCTGGTCCATGGCAATGTAGCTTGGCTCAAATCTTGAGATTTGTAGAAACACTTCAGTGTATTCTACTCTGCTTGCTGGCACTTAGAGAACGGTTTCTCAGGAGATCAGCAGCTTGTGTGATTACAGTTCACAAATGACCATGTCAGGATAATGTTGTATTCAGTGACAGATTTGACTGCAATTTACATGTATATTGGGATCACCTTTCCCGACATATCAATCGTCTGTCTCAAGATTCAGGGAATTGCCAACACTATTACCTCCTTTTGGAATGTTGAAGAAAAATCCTGGCTTCGGGTTTAAAACATGTCAACATTCATTTGCTACAGAGGGTTTAGTAGACATCACTGTAGGCAAAAGGACGAAAAAATGTTATCCGAAGTTGGCACACTCTTGGGAAATTAAAGGTTGGTGCAGACTCATATTGTTGTTGATCTGTATTTTGCAATAGGTCTCCAGCTTATGTCTTTGTTATCAGAGATGTCAATTTGTCATGACAATGCATCAACTGGGCTGAAAAATATTAAATCTCCGATCTTCAAATCCTGTTTTGGTAAAATCCAAAGCCAGACAGCATTTTTATCAACACATTTTTGCACGCATGAAAGAGACATGAAAACAGAACTCAAACCGTCAAGAAAAGCCTACCGAATTTTAATAAACGAGCATTAAAGTTAGTCATACTGTTTAGTGGACTAGATCCATGTGTTAATGAACACATGTGGTAGCAATAGAATCTATCAATTTTAGTCCACTAGTCCTTATAATGATAAAATGTAGCAACACCCTAAAAAGGGCAAATTTCTACTTGTCCTTATGATACCTTAAGTATTGGGCAGTTTGGCAAGGACTATAGGATGATTGTTTGTTGTTTAACGCCGCATTCAGCAATATTCCAGCTAAGTGACGGTACTATAGGATGAGTGCCAATTTCTAATGACTAGGATGAGTGCCAATTTCTTATGCTGTTTGTGGTAGCACTTGGTCCTGTGCACAGTGCAAAAATCAGGTGAAGATAGACAATGTTGGTTGCAGAGAGTAGTTGTATGGGTGACTGTGTTTCGGCAGCTTGACTCCTGCAAGTTTCTGGGGCTAGAACTTGTGATTTCTCTGGAGACTTTGTTCGATAAATGCCTCTGTTCACCCAGCAGTAAAGGCAGAGTCCATTGCATAATTCAGACTATATCCAAAGTTTGTGTTTATGAATCACTATCAGTTAGTGATGATACCAGGTGTTCGTGAAAATGTCAGGCCAAATGGTGGCACACAAACTCGGAATTATTCTTAATATTCCTAACACTGCAATAGTGAGTGAGTGAGTTTGGTTTAACGCCGCTTTTAACAGTGTTCCAGTTATATCACGGCGTGTCAGCTTAATGTGGGAGGAAAGCCCGAAGTGATGCAGGTCTCAGACATTTACCACTTCGGTGAAACACACGAGCACGGGTATGGTGCTGACAAACCTAGAAACATAATCGGGGCGAACTGGGATTCAAACCCACAATTATGTTTCTGGCGTGGCCAAGGGACGCAACTCTGCACAGCGCCTTAAAGACTGGGCCACCCGTGCCCCCTAACACTGCAATATTCTTAATAATTGTGAATATCCCATCCAGCTTTTGCTGTGTCAACCTCCCCGATACTGTATGAGCAGTCTGTAATCTACCACAGCTCTGCAATATTTTTAATAGTTCCGACTGTCCAAGCCAGCTACTGCTGTATCAACCTCCCCAATATTGTATGAGCGATGTAGTAATAAGTGCTTGTATGATATCACTGTGTCTGAGTTATATTGCAAGTCATCAAAAACTAATCAGAAACTGTTAGGAGAGACACTGTTCTCCTCCACAGAAAGTAGTCCCAACTTCCCCGCCACCATGGGGAGATGTCTGTCTACTGCTGCCAACTTGGACCATCCAATTTACACCTAATGGCAAAGTGTCGGTGAAGAAACATTGCAATATTGTTTTTCCAAATTAATCTAACATGATACTATTTGGATGCAAGCAGTTGCCAGGGATACAGACTCCGAAACATTTGTCACTAAGATTTAGGAACATGTTCCTGCAATTTCGTGTCTTGCCGCTTCACGGAGGGCAAGGAGTCTCCCCAGATTTCAACACAGTCTATGAATAATTTTCGGTCGAGTTGTTTTCTATGTGTTATCGTTTCTGGGGCACTAAATGTAGTTGTGATTGTGTGGACTTCAGTAGGTTGTTTTTCTGATGCAGAGTTTCAACTGACACAGCAGGATATGTGGCATTTGCCTGTATCTGACAAGGTCAATTTGTCAACAATGCACATCCAAAATATCAATACACATATTGTCTAAATACATGTATCTATGAACTATTCAAAACAAGTTAAAGAAAACCCCGATTATTTTCTTGTGACTATAATCAATGTGTCTTTTGAGTAGGATATAAACTCAGCATCATTATTGAGGGGTCATGCAAATAATGAAAGATAAGAGTGAGAGATCTGAAGCATTTTCAACTTCCAAGAGTGCAGTTCAGACTGGCATGAACCATTTTATACCCACATTGACTGTTACTTGTACATTGTACATGGCTGCGATCAGGCATGTTTTTGGTAGCTTTTTCCCTCATCTTCAATATTGTGTTTAATAATCGTTATCCATATTTGCCAGTTTCATAATCCAATCAGTGTGACAGGCATAAACAACATGTTCTTCAACTGTTAATCACATTGTCAACCTATCCAGACCTATTGACGCATGGTTCATGTTTGACTCTCTACAAACCAAGGTGGCCTTCCATAATGTCGCTGAGTATAGATACTGTTCTGTGGTTAGAGAAAAACAGGTACTGTAAAAGCAATACTGTATTCGATGTATTAAACGGCCTGGGCGCTCTCAAAATTAGAAACAGTTGATAGATTGTAAATTTTGTAGTTTATGCTGACAGCCTGACAGCATGTTTATATACGACATATATTTTTCCAGAATTTAATTGCCCATAATTGCATATAGGGTGCATATAACACTGAGTGCGTATTATACACGAATAAATAAGTATTGTGTACATTGATCAATCAAAAGGGGTGCTAATTAGGATTGCTCACTAGCCAATATATTAGCAAATATCGCCGTGGGCGCTTATTAGAGCGGGGCGCTATTTACGTCGAATACGGTAATATAAAACAAAGCATTAAAACCTCTTCCTAGTTATTGGTCCTGTTATCAGTGAAATGCAGGTTATCTCTACAAAACCATAACATTAGTGTCAGTTAAAAATATTAACATGAATAGGGAAATGTTTAATTCTGATTTGGCAATTTTTTAGGACATCTGCTGCAAAGCTTGGCAAAATATCAGCCTCTGAGCAGGTCCAGGTAAATCCCTGTTCATAAAAAGAATCA